CCCAGCATCCGACAGTGGACTTGGTACATTCTCAAACGTTTCGCCGGCATCGTAGTCGGCATCATCAGTGGCTGCTGCCATTATCCACACCAAACTACGAACTCGTCAAAGAGACAAGTGAAGTCAATAACTCGACAAACGTTCTCCCGAAAACGGTTACACTTTCAATCCTCTTTCTCTCCTGGCCTATCTATCTAGTCTCTAACCTCTTGTCCCACTGCCGCCCGATCACAAGACCAAGTTGCGCTAACGAGATCAACCCACTTCTATAAATCGAAAGAAGACTGCGACCACACCAGAGGCCACACCATCTTGGTCTTCATACCTTTGAAAAATAAGTAAGTTGTCGATTGTCACAGCAAATACAACTTTGCTTCATCAACAATTCCACTACGGAACATTATATGGAAAAATGTTTGGTCTTCCATGAAATTCACATCTGCTCTATGACCCGAGGGCACTCTTGGCAATGTGATGTAGTGGTTAACGTGTCGAGGTTTACACGATACCCTCATTATTCGAGTCTCACTGGGAGTGCTGATGGGACTGGAGCGGGTGTGTTCGAAACTGCAAACCACCCCAGCCGAGAAGAAAATACCTTTTGAGAAAATAAGGCTACGTGAAATTCTATGAAAACGTAAGGTCTACTCATAGCATTGTGAAAAGATTCAAGTACCAGGCTTTTTGGCAACTCAAGATAAACTAAATGGAATACATCTTATATCTAAAAAAGTTAGTTTGACTTGAAATAATAGTTGGTTGTAAGGAATTTCTGAATTGACTTAACCAAAAATCGAAGGAGGATTCCCTGGAAGGAGTGGAAACAGATTGTATAAAGAAATAATTGGCTCATCCTCTTTCGATTACGATAAACCTGCGTTAAACATTTGTCTATCATGTCACAAGCATATTCAGGGCTAGAAACTATATTTTGTGTAGAAGTGCAACAATACACAAAGCCACTACTTTATGATTAGTTTAAGTTTTTTTAATAGCATAATTTGGAAGAATTTCATTTCGTATGAAAAAGCATAATGAAGAGATTTATTAATTCGTTTTACTGGAAGACGGTGACAAGTTACTGCTGTTCTGTAGCCCTTTGGCTTTCATGTGAGTTTCATGTTGAGGCAGTCTACAAGGCATCCTCCCTCGTTTCTTCCGTCATATGACAAATAGGCAGAGCTGGAATTCATTCTTGAAAAGGCTGAGTCCGTCTCTACCATACGTGTTATAAATATTCATAACTAAAAAACTGAAATATATTCATGCAAAGGCTCTCATTTCGTATGAAAGTACATGATGAAGAGCTTCTTAGGCTAATCTCATCAAAAGGCTGATCCGGATTGTACTGTAGCCATTTGGCCCTAATGCGACATTCAGGTTGTTGCTGTCCAAGAGACATCCTCCAACGTTTTAAGCAAAGATGGACTGGGCTTTCGTTCGCCATTTAACGAACATCATCACATCGTCATTCCTATAAAAGACTCAGGGTAACACTCAGTCAAGAAGAAAAACCGGCTTTTTTCTATATGATATATAAACTCATTGGGAGCAAAATTTAAGATATAGACGGAAATAGAAAGTTTTTAGTTACTCCACATGTACTCGAGTGTGTCTATGTATGTATGCATGCTAAAATATAATGTTGTAAATGGAGAGATATAGAATAAGTTGCTTAGTCCTCTTCCATATTACTCACGGTACTACTATCTTTGTCAATTCATATGGGCGCTAAAACACATAATCTCAATTTTTTACTTAGATTAGTAGGAAAATTAACCAAAATTGCGGACGAAAGATTAGCCCAGCTTCAAGTGAGAAGGACTTGTGGACTGCGTGTTAAAGTTAAACGATTAAAGAGCTACAGGAATTGGTCGTCATCTTCCGGTGAGATCGAGCAATGAATCTCACCATGCATTTTATACGAAATGATAGTTTCCCCAATAATGCTATTATCAGAAAGTCATCGAAGCCCAGCCACACTTCGTATCTGCTACGCGACAGACGAAAGAGTAGCGACGACGTCTTTGCATAATACAACCTTCTTTACTCCCTTTAATGTCTTTACATTTCCCAAAACTGCCAAATCAAGAATACCTTCGAAACCCGGTTTTGCTTAATAGACACTAAACAAAATTCGAGCCCTGGCTCCCCCGAGGACGTGTGGCCTACCCTCCTCCGGTCATCAATGTGTGCTTTGACGACAGACACAATTGTTGCTATGCCATCATAGCATGTATGTAGGTGTGCAGCATGGCCACGCCAACCTGTACAGCCACTGGCCGAATTGCCACTTGTGCAGACAGGTTAGGGCGTGACGTCTGAGCGGGCGGGCACACACAAGGACAGACGAGCAGAAAGACGGGCAGATGGGCAGGCTGGGGTCTTGAGTCATGTTTGTGAACATGCATCGCCGGCCGGAAGCTGAGCACTCGAGTTGAGAAATGCACGAGCCAGCCTTTAGGCGAGACAAGAGGGTCAGAGTGGGTGCGAGGGAACGATTGCATCTGTGCGACATTTTGGCGGGATTCTGGCTTAATTGCGGACCGGAGCAGCGACAGTTACCATTTCTAGGGCGAATGTGTTGTCTGCCAGAAGAGGGAAATGGTACCTCTCTCGGCCTGACCGAACTTTCGCCCGGCGACCATGTCGAATGGAGGCAGGCCGGTGATAACGTTTCGGCCAATCATGGACGGGTGAACTCAAGTCTCTTGCCCACCTATGGGCTTCGTCGTTGCCGCTGTTCTCGCCAGGCTTCGGCGTCGCACAGGCTCTCTCACCCCCTTTACGGGACGACTGGCGAGCCATCCTTGGCCGAGTGATCGGCCGTCTCGGTGGCCGGCACTGGGCGGTCTACAGTACGTCGCCTGACTGGCTACGACCCCAAAATGCTGTATGCAAAATGGGCCCTACCAGAGTCTTCTCCCAATCGCTCGTGTCGCCTCATCCGAGCTGGGACGAGACGAACACGATGATTGGCACCTGCCCCATTCACAAATGCCCAGTTCTGCAGAAGCCACAGAAAGACTAAGATCACACTCCGTGTTTGTACTCCTACTTGTTCAATTTTCACTACAGAAGTAATGGGAAGTCACATATTTTGCAGTTTAGCCTTGCAAGGCAGGATAGGGCTGAGTTTCGAGTGCCACACACGAGAGACTGGGAAATTCTATACCATCAAAAGGGCAACCATCTATTTTGGGATGTCTTGGAGCGCCACAAACAAAATGATGCTTGAGACCAAATGATCAACTGATTAAACACACGCACAGTTCAAACATACATACATACACACAAGCAAAACGCACTTACTTAACCACATGCATTTACGGCATTACGCAATCGTATGTTTAGCCAAGAGGAAATCGCCACCGCCCTATGACGGGATCGACCAAAGAACCTCTTCATTACACACTTTCCCTCGAAATGGAAGAGAACTCAACAAATGGCCAATCAACAGGCAAGGGGATTCGGACCAAATGACTATTTCAAGTAACCGAGGAGGACAGAGATGTATGAAAGAAAGCTCAACTACAGACGCTATTCGATCTCGTCATGGATGATACAACTAGTAATTACATTAAAGCACTAATCATTGTTATTTATTTTTTAAATACTACAAATCGCATGGGAGCATTGACAGGCGTGTTCAGTGGACTTTTTACTTTTACTTACCATCGCCATGAAAAATGAGAACAGTGAAGGTAACAAAAGCTGGGGGCAATAGTTGTGGAGACCAAAGAGATGTATTCTCTATTTTAGTCTCAACCCCTTTTCAAAATCGAGAACTGGACTTATCTCTCATTCGCAAAGTGATAATGTCATCAGGGGTACTGGGAATAACACAACTCTGGCATAACAGAGGTCATAATCTCCATCGGCGTGTCGTGAACTCGGTACCTTTTCCGACCATTCACCGGCATTGTAGACGACATTACCAGTCCTGGCGCCAAGTAACAATTCTGTTGATCAAATTTATGTGTAACAAATGAATGGACTATGCCAAAAAAACGTGCAGGATGGTAGCAAATTTATGAGCATAAACTAGACATTCTAATGCCAACTCTGACAGATGAATCCAAGTTTTTTTCCTCGACACCATCCCAGCAACATGACAAAAATGGGATATCGCAGTCAAACCAGTTTTTAAAGGTATGGTGCCTCTATTGCATTCAAACTTTCCTCCATCCTTGGAACATATGGCCTCCTCTTTGAAGTGCCGCAGGTGAAGCCTGATAAAGAGATTCTCAGAGTAATCTAATCAGATGATGTAAGGACTGAGCTCGAATCTCTCAGAGACTAGTCGTTCTACAATACAATTACGTTTGATTATTAAGATCAATGCAATTGACTGGCCGTCTTCCTCCGGCTCAGGAGAAAAGAAGTTTATATTTTAGATACAAAGAGTAACTGGGTCTCGATAAATCTCCTGAGATAATATTGTTGGGGGTACTTTCATTTCGTGTGAAAGTGCATGAAGAAGATATTCGTAGGTCGATCTCATCAGTCCACGAGACCTCCTTCTAGACTGGAGGGTTAGAACAAGTTATTTCACAACTTACATTACACACTTACAAGCTTACATCTTATTATCTCAAGCATGC